AATATGTTACACGCAAGGAGATATGTGTTACTTTCTGTGAGATACGGAGGTAAAGATGATCCATTTGGGCAAGACTTATGCCTCCACAAGGTAAAAATCCGCCATTTTCAAAAATGGCCGTTGCCATGGCAACAAATAACCAGGCGTCCAAAACTTACCCATTTTTGTAAGTTTGGGTCAAGGCCCTACCACCACACAAAGTTTGAGAGAATTTGATTTTTTGAGTTTGGCCACTTTTTTTCTGATTTGCTTGGTTTTTACAGACATCGGCTCTTAAGTATAAAATGATGACGAAAACGTGCTAAGAAAAGGCAATAAATGTCAATATCAGACAGACTTCTTCATCCAGAATATTTGTTTTGTTTTTCCCCCTTGAAATTTCATTGGGTGACACACACAGTAAGACAATACGGGTATGGTTACAGCTCTACTGCAAACACTTAGAAGATCTTTGGCTTATAATTACTTGGTGTTTGTTGTGTTTGTAGTATCCTACCTAGTCCCACCCTCGTTGTTTTTCTGAAGTGTGTGCTGACGTTTTAAGCTGTATCGTCAGGGATTGTGACAGAATAGGGACAAGCCAGGTTTGGTGTGTTATGAAAACGGTTACCCCACGTCTGCACATGTTAGTTTACCCTTATTATGTCTGTCCCACTAAGTAAGACCACGACCTAATGGTCGAAGAACAAGCGCAGGCACTAAGTAACAGTATAGAGTTAGAGATAATAGAGATCATGCCCTATATTGTCTTGATATGATGCACGATTAGGTTAGTACGTTGAGGGTATAAAACCACTTACCTTACCTGGTAGTACACGTTTCACACTATGGGAAACTTTCATAAGATCTTGGGGAGCGTCATTGAAAAATAATTATAGGGGGTCGCTTCAGTTGGCCCTACGCATTGAAACCTACAGTAAGACAAAAAAAAAAAAAAAAAAAAAAAAAAAAAAAACAGACAAAACTCGCCTTTCAGGATTTATAGTAACAAAACTCAACTTCATGAGCTAGCCCATTTATTAATTAGTTATTGATTACTTATTATACTTACAAGCCTTTCGGGAAAGATATTTCCGGTTTTATGTACATGGGTCAATATCTTGACCCCCTGTCATGGCGATTCCAAGGGACTAGAAAGAGGGGTGTAGTATCACAGATGTAGTCAGTAACAATGCCAATAAAATATGCATGGGAAAAAAATCCATTTTTGGGGCAAAATCCTCTCGGAAGCAACATTTGCTCCAAACCCTACACTATACCATTCACCATCAAAATGCCAAAAATTCACCAAAATGACCCTCAGAAAAGGTTTTCAAAGTTCTTTAGCAAAACTCTTTGTCTAGCGTTATCAATACGTACACGAGATGTTGAATGAGTTGCTAATTTACCTTTACTATATGTCACGCTACTCTCTGCTTCTGAATTGTTGTTGTACAGAAAAAGCCCCTCCTGTGCAAACATTGTGATTGGTCCCTACACCTAAAGTTCAAAGTTCAAGCGTGAAACACAACAATGCCACGCGAAGGGTCATTGGCCTATACCATAATATGTAACAATGTAGGGGACATTGACTCACCGATGCTGGTCATGCTAGACGTCATGTGACGAGCTGAGCAGGTAAAACATGTCTCCAACATTCACCGTGCTAACACAGACACCGTCCCGGGCCTGTCTGCTCAGCCGTCCCGACAACATAGCAGCGATCACCCGCCGTCCAGGATACGGGCCCGTCTGTTGCCTGTGTTACCGCTTAAGACGTAAAGTATAACTAGGTCCAACATGTCTCTGAATTCTATAAAGGCAACAAAGCCTAGAAGAATGAAGGAAAGGGCCACTAGTATCGTGAAGAGATCCATGGTACAGCCGTGAGACAAGGAACACAACAAAGTGTTCAAAACAGGCCTTTAGGGGAAGGCTGTCCTTGACCGTTGTTTTGTGGAATCTGCCTAGGCAGAATCATGTCAACAAAGTGTTTGGTGGTTAAAATTGCCTTTGTTGTCTTAAGTTTCATTTATTGTTAGCGGTGTCATTTAATATGCTACTATCATGTTCTGTCAATATATCCACTTATGTAGGCCAATTTATACACAATATTCGCTGACAAAACGAGAAAATGTAATAAATTCCTGACACTATATATTACTATCAATAGATTTAGATTAGTATAATTGGTGTCTCTTAGATTAGTATAATCAGTGTTTCTTTATTTCTATACATTGTTTATGAATGTATACCAGATTCTTAGTACAGTTAGTAGAACTGTTAGATATTTTTAGCATCACCAACTATGTATGTATGTTAACATCACCAACTATGTAATACTATGTACTATATTTTGCCATACGTTGTACCCGCTACATCTGTTGGGCAATTAAGTTCTTCTTCTATAAACGAGTGCTTGAGTACAGCGCCACTATGTATTGTATCTTTTTTTAAAGATTAAAATTGTACACATGTAATAAAAAGGCTACAGATCGTAGTTTTTAGAGTGCGTTATATCACGATGTTTGTCAGGAAAAGATTCATTGCCGAGTCTACAACTTAGATCATGCAGTACAATGAAAACGTTTACTCCGTGTACTTCGTACTTACTTTCCCACCTTTACTAGTTCTTTACATATTGCGGAAAGTTTGTTTAAATGTCAGCTTTCCTGCTGTGATATTTACGGATTTGTAAAGGAAGCGTAAAGATATGAAATATGTTTACGTCGTACTTCAGCACACTGAAAGGTGACGGAAAGGCGAAATTTGCCTTTCAGCAGCCTTTACGAAGTCTTTACGAAGTCTAAAGTCTATTGAAATATTTTCTCACCTTTAATACTTCTTTACATATTGAGGAATGTTTGCTTAAATGTCTGTTTTCGTGCTGAATTGGACAGACAAAATAGGTATACCGCGTGCATACTTTATACATGTATCATCATGCCTTCGGATGATTGACCGATTGATTTATTGATTGATTTATTGATTAGTTGATTGATTAGTTGATTGATTGATTGATTATTGTTGAATTGCAAAGTTCTTTACAACCACTTGTTTAACACTGAGAGATCTTGTTAAACAAGTGATTGTGAATAAAGAACTTCGCTATTCAATCATTAACCAACCTGATGAAATTATTCACGGATCATTATTAAAACATTCTTATAAAGAATAATAATATCTTAAATTAGCAAATGTACGTCATAGATCCACCATTACAAAACTAAGAATCAGTTGTCAAAAAAAATTGCGAATCGAAGCAGGAAGACATAACCGCACTCCCCTAGAGCAAAGAATCTGCCAATTTTGTAGTCTAGATAGAGTAGAGGACGAAGTACATTTCACCATAGATTGTCCTTTATATGACAGTGATAGACGTATACTCTTCGGACATGTTTTAAGTAAATTTCCCAACTTCGGATTCTTATAACAAGTAAAGAAAAAAATCATATTCCTGGTAACATTTGATAAACCAAATCTGACTACTCATACAGCATCGTACATTTATACAAATACTAAGAAGCGAGAAGAAGTTGAAAACACTAGAATACATAAGACATTTATTTATACATGTACACATAGTTATATGTATATTTATATGAATATGTATTCGTATATGTATAATGTGACCTGTGCTTGGCACAGTGGGGCAAAAATGTACAATAAAGATCTTCATTCATTCACTAGGTTGCGTCAACTATTATTGTTGTTGCGGGTTTATAGTGTTTAGATTTGGTTCAAAGTCCAAGGCAATTGGGCTCTCGCAACATACCCGAGGCAGTGTTAACACGTTAACACAGCAATGTTAACAGCTTGCTCGTAGTTAGTGAACTTTTCTCACATGTCCTGAAGAGAGACACCGTGTACAGGTACAAGGATATGGCGCTGAATGTTAGTACGCTATTCTGGTCGCCTGTGTTACAGCTATTACTACTGGTCATCTCCTGTATGGTCAGTGATGGCCAGTCTGTGGAGGTTTCCACGACCCTTGGTCAGATCCGAGGGTTCAGCACGACTCTAGACGACGGTACCGTCCTGAACACCTTCCTCGGCGTGCCCTTCGCGGCACCCCCGACCGGGGACCGGAGGTTCCGCCCTCCTCAGCCGCACGAGGGTTGGACCGACGTCCGTGACGCCACAAGGTTCGGGCCGGCATGTCTACAGTACCCAAGGGGGACAACAACGTCAGTCACCTCCTACGACCCTAGTCTGGACGACGTCAATGTTTCTGAAGACTGCCTGAACTTGAACGTGTATGGTCCACAGGTAAATGTGTTATAAATAATAGTATTGAAACACAAATTGAATTTTTATAGCTTGGATGCCAGACGCATAGCATGCCAGGCCCAGAGTTGTCAGCGTCAAACTGGTGTAACATTTATTTCTTCACACTAGACTGTGAATCAGTGCCTAACTGAGGGGGGGGGGGGCTGTGGTATAATTTCTTGGGGGCCTTGGAGCTGAGAAATGGACCTGTGTAGGCCCTGGAAACAATCTGGCACCTAGGCTGGAATTTTTACCGTTGAAAATACTTTTTATGTCTGCTTTTCTGATGCATTAGAATACAGCGGCTGTAGTTAAGCTGAAAATACAGCAGTTGTTATTGTATGGTCAAAGATGAAGATGAAGTTAAAGTTGTAACAATGTAAGTCCTAGTCTGTTTGGCGTGACTTATTTTAGCTGGCTTTTTTGCCTGCCTACCTGCCTAAATGCCTAGGCCAGAGCTGGTCCCTTGCTCCTCTTTTGTTTTGTATAAACACAACATTGATGACCTTGAAACCACCGTGACCCGGCGGCCATGTTTGTTTGTTCCTCAGGTGTCGGACGGTGAGGGGTTGCTTCCCGTCATGCTCTACATCCATGGCGGCGCACACGTTACCGGAGCCAACAAGTTGCATGACGGGAGTTTACTGGCACAGAGAAGAGTGGTCGTCGTCATCACAAACTATCGCCTTGGCGCTCTAGGTATTTGCTACTAATCTCCAAGCAGATGTTTTAGTGGATGCAAAGACAGAATCAAATTGGCCTGGCTGTATCTATTGGGCAGACATTTACCATTTTGCCACCCTGGCCAATTTGATTATGTCTTTGCAGCCACCGTAAGATCTGCTTGGAGATTTTTCATTGTACTGTATCTCAAAATATCATCGATATCAATTTTGAGATTGAATGCCAATTATCTTGTATTGATTCTGTATCTAAACTACGTTACTTAAACCTAATTCGTAACGTCTGTGGCCTGGAAATATTTGTTGATATTTTTTTATTCATTTATTAAAGCAGAAAAAAAAATAAAATCCAACAAAAAAGGATCATACAAAGATAAAATAGATAAAAATAACAAATAAATATACACAAATCTTAGCAAACAATACTAAACAAACAAATTGGGGTCAGACTGAATTAAATTTGTGGATTTTTTTCCTGTCAACTCACTAGGATTTTTCAGCACCGGAGATTCTAGCGCCGCAGGGAATTATGGGATGTTGGACCAACTCGAAGCCATGAAATGGGTCCGCGCGAACATCCGGGCATTTGGAGGCAGCCCCGATCGTGTGACCATATTTGGTGAGAGTTCAGGGGCAGCGAGTACATCTCTACACCTGGTATCTCCGCTCAGCAGAGGTGAAAATAGTTATCGTTTTATAAATATTGTATATAAGTTGTTATCTTTCAGAAGCAAAAGGGAAAATTGTAACATTGTACATTTCTATGTATATCAAATTTTCAATATACCCTCCAAGCAGTGGTTGAGTTCGCTTACCAAACCGTTCGTACATGATTTTTTTTCTAATTTTCAGTCACCTTTTTTTACAAGAGCTTTCCCGTTAAACGTCAAAAGTGCTTTAATGTTTCACGGTGTAAAATGACATACTTTAGAAAATCGCTAGGATAAAATTGAACTGGCAAGTCTGGCATACTACAGAACAACTAGAATATCTACTACCATAGCACTCAATATTGTTCTGTCTTTCAGTGACACGAATCTTGGTTATGTAAAACTGCTTTTTCCAGGTCCTTCACATGTGATAAGTGTCGACTTGTTCTGTCAGTTCACTTTAGTGAAGCTGAAGAATAGTGTTCTGTCAGTTCATTTTAGTGAAGCTGATGAAGAGTGACGGATGTCACTCAAAACGTCCGGAAGTTATCTACGTACTTTATCCAGCAGTAGACTAGTAGAAGTTTATTTGTCTTTAAATCTTGTTTACCTGGATGTCTTACCTTCATCAACGTGTCTTTCAGACTATTTCTATCAAGCCATTCTACAGAGCGGAGCCTCTACCAGTCCCTGGGCCGTCTTACTGCCGGAGTACGAACCTCAGAAGTACACGGAGGAGCTGGCAAAGCAGATGAGCTGTAGTACGCAGGTATGTACCATCTGCGCCCCTATTGTTTGTTTGCAGTCACGTGAGTGACATAATCTAGCGTCCACCATGTTGGTGGGTTAAAGATACATTGGTAAATATCGGATGAGAAATGTCACATGCAAACACGAAACAAAATGCCTCCGCCCCTTAGGCGTCACCAAAAAAAATTACACAACTTTGCTTTTGTATCATCATGCATATATGTGATGTCCTTTACTAAAGGTAAAACGATACACTCTCTTCTCAAAACGTTTTTGACGACATGTTGCCATCAACACAACAACAATCTTAATACAACACAAAAATGGCGACATTCTAAAGCCATTCTACAACTATACATATAACAAGAAAAACGCTTATAATATATTGTGTTTGCGATTTTTTTCAGTCAACTCAGGAGCTGGTTGACTGTTTAAGAGAGAAGACAGCGGAAGAGATCTCCAGTGCAGATGTGGGCGTAAGGCTTGTCTCTATTTTTCTCCAAACGCGGTTACGCAAGCTTAAGTACACGCCTCTTTCCGTTATAAGGCCATGTTGATTTGATTATATATGGATGACATCCTATTGGAACTGTGCGTGTAAATAAAAAAAGTTTTGCCAAAAAAAAGTTGGTCTCATTATGAAATCTACGTCGTCATGAAGGTTGAACAAATGGCACAGAATATGGTAGGGCGAATTATCTACTCTTCAAATTCATTTCTTAACATTTTCGTCTTTTTTCGTTTGATTTTGGCATTCTACGATATTGGTATCATTTTTAATTTTTTGCAACTTAAGGTATATTTTTGCTAATTTTGCAACTGTTTGATACGATTTACAGCATGGTTGAAAACGCCGAAAGGCGGTTATACCGCCTATACAGATAGAGATACAGACAGATACAGAAAACGTTTTTTGGAACAGCCGAAAATTCATGCGCGCGGATGTCATCCATATAATCAAATCAACATGGCCTAAGATGCAAAGAAACATGCATCTTAGTCGAGTAATGCCCACTTTCCGAGAAGAGCGTGCGTTTCTATGATGAATGTCCAGATTCGATTAGACGGAGTGAAGATTTGTATAAGACAACCCCAGTATCATGTGTTACACTCCATAAGTAGGTAGGTTCCTCTGGTGTCTTAAAGACCAAATGACACCCAAAAAGTCTGTAAAATACATAACATATACAAAGGTATACATACAACCAAGTCACGTGAAGCTGGTTTCAATCATGATGACTGAGAAATTGAGTTTTTACAGAAATTGACTTTGTAAAGGTCAATTTTTGGAGACTCTCTAGCAAGCAAGCTATCTATTTGCATCTCTATAAATTATGTTTTATTTTTGCATTTCTGTGCTTTTTCCTGAGCTGACATCACTGGGTGACATCAGCTCAGGAAAAAATACAGATATGCAAATTAAAAAGGTAGAGATGCAAATTGTCTGTCAGAACTGGCTTGTGCTGACTTTCTCAAGACGGGGCATTCAATTTTTGAATGTAACAGGGGAACCGTGCATATTTATCATAAATGTGTCTGTTAGCCAGGTAATACTAGTTATGTCAACTACAATCGGATAAGGTCATATTTTGGTGTCATGAGCACTTTAATTCTCTCCCCATGACGACCCTACAGAAGCCGTACCCGATGTCGTCTGCTGCCTGGGCTCCTGTTGTGGACGGCCCCGGCGGTTTCCTGCCCGCCCGACCGTGGGACTTACTGGCACAGGACCGGTTCACCAAGGTCCGCCTCATGGCGGGATGTACCAGGGACGAGCGGTCCGGAGACCTGGGTAGGAACTGGACATCAAAAACACTTTTCTTTGGAGAAGGGAGCAGGGTTGCAAGAGTATACAGTGCAAATTTTACGGAATACAGTGCAACTTTACCGAATACAGTGCAATCGTATTAGTATACATTGCAATTTTACTAATATACAGTACTAGTAAAGTTGCATTGTATACTAATACGGTTGCACTGTATGTCGTAAAATTGTACTATACACTAATACGATCGTGCTGCATTCCGTAAAATTGCACTGTATTCCGTAAAATTGCACTGTATTCCGTAAAATTGCACTGTATTCCGTAAAATTGCACGGTATACTCTGGCACCCCTGAGGTACGAAAAATTGTAAATACCACACTTATAAGTAAGTAATATAGATATGTGGTGACTTGTCTTGGGGTGTGGCAGAGGAGGTTTCATTCTCCACCGCCCTTGCTACTTTTTTTGACCTCCATGAAAAATGGAGGTTATTGTTTTTGCTCTCTCTCTCTCTCTCACACACACACACACACACACACACACACACACCACACACACACTCACTCACTCACTCACTATCTCTTTCTCTCTCTGTGTGTTTTCGCACATTAACGGTCATCATAACTTAAGTCAAGAAGGCCTGGATGGATTGTGACGATATTTGGTATGTAAGTATATCTTGGACACCAAGGTCAAGCTCAATTATAGAATGACCTTGGCATATGGTACTGCAACTGTAGTCCATTTGCATACTAGTAGTTCACTCAAAACCTTCCTGATTCCGTTCGCGAGGACAAGCCAAGAAGAAGAAGTTCACTCATGCATTTATATACTGTACAGTATGTTATTAGGCAGAGAAGACCACAATATAAGATCATGCTAATTACAACCTTATTTTCCATAATTAATGACAAAATAAAACAGCAAAATCTACAAAACTAGTGAATATCATTTGGAGTTATCTTATCGTCTTACCGCCTTACCGTTTCTTGACCGGGGGTGGTCGTGGGGGCACCTAGCGGCTGAGCACACTGCCTTCCTCCATCCTTCTCTGTCTTGAGCCAGCGGTTGGGCGCAGGCAAGGGACAAGCCGGTCCACTCATTGACGTTGTCGTCCCATTTCTTCCTCAGTCTCTCTCTCTTTCCTTTCCCTGGTACTATTCCTTTGGAGATATGAGACGTCCCAACTCTTGTTGTTGACAGCAAACATTCCTGGAGTAGAGAATGGAGTAAGCAGAGACCGTTTCATTGCCGACCTGGCGGAGTTCGTGAGACGGTACCCGGCAAACAGGGACTTCCTTTCCGACGCCCTTCTGCACGGCTACACGGACTATGAAGCCATCGACGATCCTATCTCCAACAGAGATAACTACGTACAGGTGATGGGATCTTCCAATTAGGCCGTGTTTAAGTGAAGTCACCCAAGGCGCTTTACATGTGGTTTACCCCGAAGCCGGTTTCAAGTGGCTCCATCCGAACGCTCCGAAATCACATTGAAAGCGTCTCGATCCCAAGCCACTTCTAGAGGTGGTTTCGAATCGGTTTTCCCGCATCGCGATTTGCGTCTGAACGCAATATGATTTCAATGTGACTTCGCCTGGTCATGGGTTACGGGGTGATATTTCTTTATTTATATGCAATACCAACTTTTACGTGGCAGCAACTTAAAGAGCAGTAATGGTCAAATAATGCGTCCGTTGTAGGGCGAGCTTCACCGCCTCTGGCGGGACCACGTCGGCATTCGGCCGAGATACGCTGGGAGGGGGGCCTCAGCAAGCAAGTCGTTGACCTCTGACATCAATAACACGCCACCTTGCGTGTTACCATCAAACAGCAATAAATGTAGCTCAAGCGAATTGTGATCGGACTCGGTTTCACCAGATGTGAGGAATGTGAGTTACCCGAATCGCGGTTTGGGTGACTTCACTTAAACACGGCCTAAGCCTCCTTTGCAGGCCTTCCGGGATCGGTCGATTTTTTGGGGGTGGGGGCTCTTAAGTTGCACGATTTTCTGATCAAACGTAGATCGCACGCATTGGATCGCCTCAAAACTAATCATTTGTATGTCTTATCAAGACCTACCCACCTACCAAGTTTCATGATAAGGATCCATCTAAAGCTTCTTACTGATGAAGTTTCTTTATTAACCAGTTCCTGTCAGACTATCGGTACGTCGCGCCGGTGGAGGAGGTGTTACTGAGAATGTCGGCAGGGGGCGTTTCAACCTACAAGTACAGCTTCGCTTATCAACCCATCCCCGACAGATATCCCTCGTGGCAAGGTAAAGTATGGTTATCTGTGATTACCCGGTGTTACTGTGTGAAATTATTGTGTGATTTTGTATGTATATGAAGGACCACATGAAAAGTACCTGACAAAAGATTCCTGTACCGCATGTCTCACCACTGGAATACTTTACAAATTAACAGAATTGTTACATGAACCTTTATTTCAGAATCTGTATTTTGTTCACGTATTTTAAGCACGGTACTCTGTGGTTACCCTTGTGTTTTTTTTGCGACAGTATTCTGTAATTTTGTATGTATTACATGTAGGACAACAGGAAGACAGAAATGTTAAACTCAAACTCAACTCAATGCCAAATTGATTGGCAAAGGCTGTGAAATGTTTAGAGTTTAGGAGAGAGCTAACAGAAGAGAATTGCTTGCTAGGTCAAAAGCTAGTGTTTTAGGACAATGTATATTTGCGTTATTCTCCAAGCATACATGTGTAGGTTTTGGCTTTGGATTATTTTTGACGACTTTTTACGCGTTTTATCGGGATTTCTGTTAACGTTTTGTACTGGAATCTTTTTTGCGCCAGCCAAACAGATGATTTGATATTGCCATAGAAGTTCACCTGTGTATAACCATAGTACAATGTTAAATTTTCTTCCAACACACACAAAAAGCGTACAGAAGGATAAAATTTTAAATGACCACTGTCGCCTTCAGGATAAGTAATGACCGCAACTTCCGAACGTAAATTTGATACTGTCTGCAGCAAACCGAAAAATCAACTTGGGGATTACGATTGCGCACCTCTGAGGATTTTCAGTTTCTGATGTTATACTGAGTTACTAAGTTAGAGTTATATATACTGAGTTAGAGTTACTGATGATATGTGTTCTCCAGGAGTGCCCCATGCGGCAGAAATACGCTTCCTCTTCAACATGCCGACTCGGTTTGTGGACGGCGCGCCCACTGCAGCTGACCTGGACGTGCAGGACAAGATGGTCACACTATGGACCAACTTCGCCAAGACAGGGTCAGGATAGTACTTGCACTTTTTTTAAAACGTTCACAGGGGTAGAGTTAGTGTTGTCCATGTTACCTCCGTGAGATGGAAGGTACTGTTTTTTGTCTGGGTGATAGGTCGGACGGACTGCGGTGCCCGTGGTATTTTAGCAGGTAGGTACGTGGGATGCCCGAACATCGGCTCCCGACCCTTTCGCCTTGACGCGGTGCGAGGGCCCGAATGTACCAATTTCCTAGTCCTGGGGTAGGTGTACCGTCCCTACTCTGTAACCTCGAATGAGGGGGTGGAGATTGGATAGTCGCTAAAGGAAGGGTCCCTGTCGGGCAGATGGAGCTCGATAGCCCTTGTCAACCGGGGCAATCCATCTAGGACAAGGAAAGTCTGACTTAAAACCTACGACCCGAGGACCTCACTGTCACCGTCCCAGTTTACTAGGCTATGGCAGACGAACCCCGGGTGTAAAGGGTGGGAACAGTACTGCGCACACCGTCTCTCACCTTAAAAAGCCACTGCGCAGGCCCAAGCCCCCCCCCCCCACCAAAGCCCTGCAGCGATGGGAAAGGGGCGAACCGGCAGGTGGAAGATGTCACCCAAGCCGCAGTTCCAATCCTGCATGCAGGCGGTTCAGGATATTGGTCGTGTGACTGTTGACCTGAAGATGACAACATCACTCGGCAGCACCCTGAATGGCCGAGCAGCCTATTGAGGAAAGCACTGCTCGCTCCGGAGCACGGAGGAGGACCTAGAAAAGGTGGTCCAAACAAAGCTCATCTTCAACCTACCCAGTTGGCTAGCCGCGGCCAACGGGCATCTTCTCAAGCGGTCGAACAAAGACAAGAAACAGTGGCTCCATACCTGCCCACAAAGGTATGACAGGACTCAGACTAGCATGTTGGAATATCAGGACCATGCTAGACTCCCAGGACGATTGCCGCCCTCAACGCCGCTCCGCTCTGGTTGCGCGCGAGCTCAACCGTCTGAATATCGACATCGCTGCTCTCAGTGAAGTTCGACTTCCAGATGTCGGTAGCCTCAAGGAGCAGGGTGCAGGCTACACTCTCTACTGGTCAGGCAAGCCTCAGCCAGAGCGTCGTCTCTCAGGAGTGGGCTTCATGACAGAGAACACCATAGCTTCAAAACTGGAGAACCTACCAACAGGTCATTCTGACCGCATCATGTCCATGCGCCTGCCTCTGACAAAGAAACAGCACGTTACCCTCTTTAGCGTGTACGCCCCGACTCTTCAAGCAGACCCAACAGAAAAGGATAAGTTTTACACTGACTTGCGCAGACTAGTGCGGAACACCCCTGCAGGCGACAAGGTTATTATACTTGGGGATTTCAACGCCAGAGTGGGCAGAGACTCGGTAGCCTGGAAAGGTGCCCTCGGAAAGCATGGCGTTGGGAACTGCAACGACAATGGGCGTCTCCTGCTGGAACTCTGCACCGAGCTCCAATTAGTCATCACAAACACAATCTTTCAACAGAAAGACAGTCTCAAGACAACCTGGATGCATCCCCGGTCTAAGCATTGGCACCTCATTGATTACATCCTTGTCCGCCAACAAGACCGCAGGGATGTTTTGCATACCAGAGTGATGCCCAGTGCAGAATGCCATACAGACCACCGACTGGTTCGATGCAAACTAACCCTTCACTTCAAGCCGAAGCCTAAACGAGGAGGTCCTCCCAGGAAGAAACTCCACGTTGGCAGACTGGAGTCCGACGTAGTGAAGGCTGATCTCCAATCCCACCTTCAGTCTAAGCTGGAAGGTCTGGACTGCCCTACAGACTCTTGCCCAGAAACACTCTGGGCTCAACTGAAAACTGTTGTGCTGAAGTCCTCGGAGGAAGTCTTAGGCTTCTCTGGGAGGAAGAGCAAAGATTGGTTCGATGATAATGACCAAGAAATCCAACAGTTACTGGCTAAAAAGAGAGCAGCTCACCAGGCACATCTCGCACAGCCTTCCTGCCCTGCGAAGAAAGCTGCCTTCCGCTCCACATGCAGCAAACTTCAGCGCAGCCTGCGAACCATGCAGAACAACTGGTGGACCCAGCTTGCTGAGACAACACAGCTCTGCGCCGACATCGGTGACTACAGGGGCTTCTACGAAGCCCTAAAGGCGGTCTACGGCCCCACTCACCAAGTGGTAGCTCCTTTGCGCAGCACCGACGGCCAGACTCTCTTCACGGACAAGGCGTCCATCTTGAACCGCTGGACAGAGCACTTCCAAACCCTCTTCAGCGCTAACCGTACCGTTGCTAACTCTGCGCTCCAGCGCGTACCTCGACAACCAATAAAAGAAGACCTGGATTTAGTACCGACCCTCGAAGAGGTCATCAAAGCCACAGATCAACAGAAAAGTGGAAAAGCAGCAGGTGTCGATGGCTTACCTCCAGAAATCTGGAAGCATGGAGGCGCAGCATTGCACTCCAAACTCCACGAACTCTTTGTGTGCTGCTGGGACAGGGAAAGCTTCCCCAGGACCTTCGTGACGCTGTTATCATTACCTTATACAAGAACAAAGGGGAAAAGTCCGACTGCTCGAACTACAGGGGGATAACTCTCCTTTCAATCGCAGGTAAAATCCTGGCAAGAGTTCTCCTCAACAGACTGGTCCCTGCAGTTGCAGAACACCACCTCCCAGAGAGCCAGTGCGGCTTCCGAGCCAACAGGGGTACCACCGACATGGTCTTTGTGCTCAGGCAGCTCCAGGAAAAATGCCGTGAACAGAATAAAGGACTGTACATCACCTTCGTTGATCTGTCAAAGGCGTTTGACACTGTGAGCAGGAAGAGCCTGTGGATGAT